GAATATATGTATCCATAGATTTATCAGCTACTGTACCTGTCGAATAAAGAATGTTTTTTTTATCCAGTTAATTCCTGAAGGTTAAATGGAAGTTCCATTTGAAAATCCACTTTGAAAATCCATAAATATATCCGATTATGGAAATAAAATGAGATTGATGGACCTGCAGAACAAAAAGGAACCTCTGTAAGCCAGAAGCAGCTTTTGAAAGTTTTTGTCCTGCTCCCTGGCTCTCTTTGAGACTGCTGTTACCTTGTTTTTCTGGGCATTGGGTGGAAATCTTCATTAATATTTCCAAAAAAGCTGCAAATTTCTTTGAGAGTTCAGAGCAATATGAAGTCTTTTAAAGAGGTGCTGCTGTTTTCCTTCAGAACAGATGTGTTAATATTTCAAGTGTTAAATGGGACAGTCGCATGCTCTCAAATTGGCCACTTTTGTCCGTTTTATTTCCAGACTGGCACTTGAAAAGAAATCGCTCTGTAAACAACATATTTCCAGTCAGAGTGACATCTGTTCATAAAATACCTCTTAATCAGATCTTAAAAGAAACGGTCTGTTTCATGACAACGACAAATGAGTCTATTAAACGCAGATTTTGATATGTTTACCCAGGGCGTTTGGCCTTGAGCTCTGCATGATTTGAAAATCACTTGCTCTTTGTGTGGACTCGAAGATGAAACAAAACCGTTTAAAAACCCATCCGAGACGCGGGGCTGAAAAGCTCTTTTTTTAATACAGGCTTTAGGCTGTGCTTTTGAATGGTGTTTGCTCAGATGATTATGAAGATTAAGCGTTGTTTTCTGAGATCCAGCGAAAACAAAGTGCAGATCCCCCTGATGGCCAACCGCAGGCCGACTGCTCCGTATGTGTGTGTATACGCATGATATAATGTCAGAAAAGTTGCATGTGTGTGTTGTAGAGACCACCATCACTTTACAGCATCAAAGGTGACCACTGATCCCCTCCACATTCTCATTTACATCGCATGACCTTTTTAATGAACCGTGCACGCAACATCTGTACTGGATGCCTTTACCGGTCTCAAATACCTCTTCCTTATTTTCCTGTCCTAAACTTTGGGGACTTTGTAAAAGTAGATTTGCCTTTTGGTATTTCAGGATCGGCAAAAATTCCCCCCATATTTAAAACTTAGGGACATTTTTTTTTCTCTGATATATCATACATTTTTTTTTTATAATATTGAATTCTAGCACCTCTTCACATGCCGCAGTGACTGATGTCTTTATTCACTGTCTGGAGCTATTTGATGAAAACAAAACTAAATCAGTTCCTAAATCAGAAACCACCCACAACAACTGCAAAACTTGAAACAGAAATAATATCAAAATATATGGTGCTAGACCGTATAGAGCATATAATGTAAAATACATTACAGACCATTTAATGTAGAGCTTCTTTCCTGGGTAGATGAAGGTGTAATTGTCTTAGAATAGGTCAGTGTTATTTTAATATCATTGAGACACTATTAATATTTTTAATTAGTTTTTATTTTTATATTTTGCTTATTTGTCTATATTTTGTGATTTTTATAAAAAAAATAAAAAATTATTTCAGTTTTAGGTTTAGTTATTTTAGTACATCTTGCTAAACTGAGAAAATGAGAAATGTTTTTTTCTATTTTAGTTCAAGTTTATTTTATCAACCTCAAAATGTGTATGTGTGTGTGTGTGTGTGTTATGTTTGTGTTGATTTGGATATTTTAGGAAACAGCCTGAATTAAATTAGAGTTTATTTTACAGTTTATTTAAATAGCTGGATTATAGGTGTGCATTTTTTTTTTTTTTTTTTTTTTTTTTATTATTTATTCATTTAAGAAAAATTCTCTAAACAAGTTAGAAAATTCCCCTCACAATCATTTTCAGGCAGCTAATATTGCCCCTTGGTAAAAGATAAACTTTTAATATTGCTATCTGTGTCCAATTTTCTCTATCTGTCTTATTGCAGAACACATGGTCTTGTTGAGGCAGGATGAGTGTGTCATCAGGGCTAACAAGAGACTGAAAGGGGGTAATTGTGTACAAATGACTACACACAGGTGTCTTCAACCTCCCAGTGTTGAGCTGACACAGGCCCTCGCTGACAGCTGAGGACAGGTGTGTGTGTGTGTATGTTTTTGGCCTTCATATTCAGAGCCTCACTGTGCCACTGTCTTTGCAAATGCAGCTTAGATGGTTAAATAGATTGAAGAAAATCAAATATGCCATCATTGAAATTCAAATATGACATTGTTAGAATGTGATCAACAGCAATGTGAAGGCTGGAATACACTACACAACTTTTGCCCAGATTTTCAGTCTGGCCTTGATGACGCTAGTTACCGAAAGTCTGCAGATTTTTGGCCGTCAGAGTTGATAGATTTTGGAAGAAATCGCACAGTGTTTGATATAGAATTTGGCTCAGACTGTGATTCCATCCAGTCGGAGGATATCAAATACATTTGATATTTCAGCCGATTTAAGAACACAAATCATTTTCATTTGTCACACTCCTAGCAATGTGATGCATGCATTTGCATGAGTTTGTTGTGTTTAAAATGAGCTGAAAGTCTGGGAGTGTGTGAACCTCAGTCACTTAGTGTAGATGCTTTAGTGTATGCTGCCTAGTGTTTTTAAAATTTGTTAAAGGGTCATGACATGGATTTTAATATGTTCCTTGAGGTTCACTTATAATGTAATAAAGTTTTTGAACCAAAAAGCAAAACAAATATAACCCTCATTTTGAACTTCTGTCTAAAATGATCTGTTTTTAAGTGATGGCTCCTTTAAGGCGTGTCTATAAACAGCCACTGTTATGATTGGCTAACATCATTGCATAGGAAAACGTATCAACAATTCCACGCTATTGCATATATGAGTATGGTTTTATATGGATAATGTTTTCAAAACACTTAATTTACAGACAAAGCATTATGAAATCATTTACTTGTGGTTCAGCTGACTGCTTCATGTCAACAAAAGTATTCCAGCATTAAGTAGAAGATTTTCAAATGCAAGTTTGCAAATATTAAGTTTGCAAAAACTGAACTAAGGCTGAAATTACCTACAAAAAGTTTGATTTGGGAGTCTAAATGTCAATGGTTTTGAATTGATCACAGAAAAGTCGACTGAACTTAAAAAAAAAAAGTTGTTTGCAAATCAGTATGATATATTCCAAGTTATTTGAGGAACTTTTACATCATACAAAGCATTGTAGATTTACAGTGATGGATGATTATTTTGACATTTGGATTATTGCATGTGTTTAAGCACTTGTGGGCTCATTAGTAAGTTCTCAATCCTTAAATTCGACAGCTTCGTATAGATAGTCCTTGATTAGGATTGTGATGTGGTTGAGCTGAACAGCTGGAACGGAGTCCGTAAGAAACCCAACCTGTGGAATTTAATTTTGATGCGAGTCAGTTTAACACACGGTTTAAGTTCGTAATGAACACTGTCAGATTCCAGCCTGGCTGCACAGTCTCTTTTTAAACAAACGCACGGAGTGGATCGACGGGACTCGGGGGAGCACGGGGGCCAGCGATGAAAACGAAAACAAAAGAAAGCCAAGAAACGAGGTATTGGTGGAGAGCTGGTGGCTGTCAAGAGCCTTAAAGCGGAGGTACATTTACAAGTGATAAACTGAGAGAGCGAGCAAAAGATAAAGGTTGGGTTAAAAATCCAATTCCTCCTCAAGAGGTTTATGTGGTTGCCAGTGCAAGTGGACCATCCAGATATCCATTTTGTCCATGTCTTGCCGTCTCCGTTTCCAGCAAGGCTCGACAAATGGTCGTTAACCAGCCAAATTAGAAAAGCAAACTCCCGACAGGCTTATGCACAATCCAGAAAATAATAAACCCTCAATGAGGAGCATCTTCTGAGGGCCTTGAAGCATCCTGGAACTGTCTGGCGTGGACAGAGATAAGCTAAGACAATGAGGCTGGATGGAGCAGGACAGATAGGACTGAAGCCAGTGGAGGATGAGGGCTGCTGTTTGCTGCCATGGTCTTGAGCCTTTCTGGAGCCACAAAACACTGCATTTAGATTTTTTTTTTTGTAATTTAATTTATGTAGCATTAACTAAGAACTGAGTGTCATAATTGTGAGCTAATAAGCTCTGTATTTAGGTTCTTATTGATGTAGGATTGCAAATAGAATCACAGTCTGGGAAATGTTTTTTTATTTTTATTTTTTTATTAAAAGTGTGCTTTATAAAAATCCATTATTCAAATTAAATAAACATAATTATAAAAGAATAATGTCATTGATAATATTGCAAAGGAAAAATATGTATTCACTCCCTCTGAACTTAAAGGTGATGTGTGTAATTTCTGCACCGCCAAAAGCAAAAAAATAAATACAAATGAATGTTTTTAAGTTTCTAAACGGGTAAACCCACCCCAAACTTTTTGCAGAGAAACAAACCAATGGATGGCTTTTTTAAAGGTGGGGTTTTAAAGCATTTTCACATTGAAAACTTACTCAAATCACCTTTAAATTGAGTGTCACCCCAGTCACCTTCACGGCCCAACTGGTCAGCCCCGGAGGAACTTAGGTTTTGGGTGGCCTAAGTCAATTCAGGTGACCAGTTGGAAAGGGGCCGCTGAGCTCCAGGGACTTAATGCCTAAAGCCCACCTGGCCTCACTCTGGTCGGTCAGAGAGTTCAAAAATGATCATATGAGGCATTGAAACACTATTAAGTGTCTTAAAGGCACTGCTGCTTTGTAACAGTGTCTTTCTCTCTCACACGCTCACATCATTCACATAGCTTTAAATGGATTTAAAAGCTTGCCATCCAGTCAAATCACAATTTGGATAAATATTTGTTTGTTCTGTGAAACAAAAACAAAAAAACGAACCCGGGGGAAATGCCATTGAATTCAGCATGTTTACCTCATTGGCAGCCCTATTGTTGTCTTTGATCCATTGACACAAGGAATATTTTTTTAAATAACAATATTTCATAACTCAAATATCTTTCAGCAAATATAAAAAAAAGTGAACTGGATGGTAAACATTTTAATGTGCACATTTTTAGACCACATTAAAGTTTTAGAAAAGGCATTGTGTTATATGGTTCAAAATACAAAAGAAATCACCCCTGCACATGCAAAAAAAAATGAAGGGAGGAGTTTAGTGAAGATTAAAAATATGTAAACTGTATATGTGTCCATATATGTTTTTTAAATAAATACATTTGAAAAAAATACACATTTTTATTGTTTTGATATTTTCTTCCAAATAACTGCAAAGGTATATAAGCAGCTATTGTTTTTCTACTTTAAATATGGCAAAAGGACTAATCTGATCTCCAACTCTAGACAAATAATTCACAGTTCAATGTCCAAATGCATAGTTCTAGAGAGATCTCTTCAGCTTTCAGCTGTCTCTCTTAGGTTCTCTTACGGTACAGTATGTGGCCGTTGAAATGACAAATATGGCAAAAACCTGATGGTAAAAAATAAATAAATAAATGCCCACCCTATTTATCAACAAAGGCAATGTTTAACTCTCTTTTTGTTTTTATCTTTTTGCCTGATGAGGATGTAAGAGGTCAAAATGTCACATTTGAATCTGGAATCTGAATAGCAGTGTGAAGACATTTACTCTTGTTTTTGACATTTGTTCAACGTTCTGTACCTAACTTCATTTGGATGTGGACTTTTCTTCACACTTTTGCTCCAATTTCTCCACAGCCAGATTGGACCAATTTTGGGCTATTTTTTTCAGAGAGAAGAACTTATCATAGTTCTGTTGCAGGTGAGGTCACAGTAAGGTTGTTTCTCCCTTTTTACAACATTCAGGGTCTATCTCACGGTCTACTGTTAGTCATCCCATCCAAATTTCCTGCCAGTCATCTGGTAGAACTTCATGTTGAAAGGCCTGTAGAAGTCTCGAAGTCTCTGCACGACCTCAGGGTCAATGTTTGGGTGGGTCCGCCCTTTGGTTTTACCCAGGCAATGGGGCTTGCTGCTGCCCTCAGCCTTTTTGAGACAAGGGAAGCCCTTGGTCTGGTTGAAGTAGAAGTGTTTGTCTGTGATGATCCTCTTGAGCCCCAAGAAGTCCTGCACGCGGCCCAGCTCTCCGGCCGGGTCGCTGATCAGCCGTTCTCCGCTCACGAACAAGAGCTGGCTCATGGGGAAGAACTGGAGCCAGTTGTCCAGGTGTTTGGCGTAGATGCCGATCTGAATGGCGCTCCACGAGGTGTCGATCAACCCTGTAGTCCTGTTTTTGAACGTCAGGCTCTCAAAAGTAGGAATGTCAGGCTTCTTGGACAGTGTCTGCGTGTAGTCAGAGATGGCTCGTGTGACGGGGTCCCGGACCACCACGATCAGCTTGGTGTCGCGGGACAGGGCGTAGATTCGAGCCGGAGCCTCGCGGGTCACAAAGTAGCTTGGTGTTTTCTCCATGGTGATCTGGCCCTCCAGGGTCTTAGGCATCAGGTCTCTGTAAAGAAACAGAGATTAGTTGATGAAATTATAGCGACAGTTATGCTAACAGCCAGTACCCTACTGGTCAAAAGATAACGTTGTATATATATTTGTATATTGTCATGACTCATGATGCATATTTTTCGACATGTTTTTTTTTTTTAGTTGTTCAATTGGTAAACTCTATCTAAATCTTTGTTCTCTCGCTCTAAAACAGCATCTAACACTCAGAGTTCTCAAAGTTGACCTCTGTTCATTTCTGAGAGAATGACTTTCTCAGAGGCTCTTAGTGCTAATTGAGACTCCATTAGAGCATCAGGCAGTGACCTGAACATCACATGACCCTAGACCCTGTCTTCTATCATATTGGTTTCTTTCCCTTTGTAGCACATTTGCTGACAAGACAAATTATTCGCCAAAACTGCAAGACAGTGTATCTGACAAAAATAAATAAAAATAAAAAATAAATTCTGCTAATGCTGGCTTTTAAGATAGTCCTCTTTTAAGAAAAATAACCAATTGTTTTGTTTCCAAGCTAAGCTAAGCAGGGGCATGTGATTTTTCTCTTGTGCTTTGCATTCTAGCCCTTTCAGATCTTGAAGAGGAAGAAAAGAGTCTAATCTGTTTGTCCATGTCGCTCTCACCCTCTCTTCCCCACTGCTCTCTAGTGCCTTCAAGACACTGACCTGAACCAAAGAGGATAAAAGCAGTGGATTAATGATTTACAGCACGGCACTCCACCATTTAGAGCCTCATAAGGCCCGTTTGCTTCAAATTCAGCCCAAGTGCAGAATGCAGCTCTCAATTATTTATCTCCCTCCACTAGGGGGTTTAAGCCCTGACAAAATGGCCTCCCTCAACCCCGATGTCAGTTTATGGCCTGTAATGGCATTAGTGGGCCGGGCTCAGTGGCTTTAGATAGCCCTTTAGGTCGCTCTGAAAAAGGTCCTTATTTTTCATTGGCAATTGTATTTCTTGTCACATGCCACCACAAATTCATGCCTCCTGGTAAAAACAAGAGCCCAGCGACTATCCAGCATGTAGCAGCGAGTGTTTATGTGCTGTGCAGCCGCTTCGCTCAAGTGAACACCGTAGGTTGCTGATTGAGTCGGGCTTGCAGCACTTCCACAGATGGAAGTTGTTACTGGAGCACAAATTAAAGTAGTGATGTAACACACAGCAAAACTTTTTGCATGCATATTAATAACTTGTTTTTCCATTTAAGCCAATGTTTTAAATGAGTCTCATTATGCTTATAACAGGTGCAGTACCCCCAAAATAACCAAGGATAAAGCGTTTTGCTCATGAGGATAACGATAGTTCAATGAACACATCTACTGAGGTTTCATCAGCCTGGAGTTTTAACCACCAGCTACACAACCCACCACCTATACAAAATCCCAGGTACCATCATTGCTTGTTTTTTCATTTGCTTTTAGTTTTTTATTATTCTTCTGTAGTGTATTAAAATGTGCAGCCCTTATGCTAAACTACATGACAAAGTGTAATGTACTGTAATTGTCTCATCATATTGTTTTGCATTTAAATGTGACATTAATGAATTTGTTTGTTTGTTTGTTCATTAATTATAGCATGCATGTACATATTCTGTTTGACAGGTTGACTGAATTTACAACTAAATGTTTCTAAATATGCTGCAAAGTTACAGTACATTATGAAGACAAAAAGACAAATGTGCAATATATATATATATATATATGTGTAATTCATGGGGTGTTTTAAAAAATGTAACACAATTTAAACAAGCCATTTGAGCTCCATATGTGAATTTGTGACTAATTATTGATGGGTAGATTCCTAATGGCCAGGTAGGCCCAACTTGCTGATGTGGCATCATATCCTGCAGGTCGTGAGGCCATCAGGGACAAACTTTGTCCATTGCAAAATGCACAACATTGCCTCTTTTATGAAATAGACATGAGCTTGGTCCAAACATAGCATTTATATTTAATAAGTTGCATCCTTCTTGTTGTCAAGGCAAAGTAGTTGTGCTGAAAGTAAGTCCAGGTACCACAATCCCACAAATGAATTTAAAATAATGGGTATGGAAACTCTATACAGGTGTCATTTTTTGTTACATGCTACAGTTCAAAAGTTTGGAGTTGGTGATTTAAAAAAAAAGGTTTTTGAAAGAAGTCTTTTATGCTCACCACGGCTGCATTAACTTACTTCAAAATATAGTAAAAACAGTAATAGTGTGAATATATTATTGCAATTTAAAATAACTGTTTTCTATTTTCATATATTTAAAAATGTAATTTATTCCTGTGATGGGAAAACTGAATTGTCAACATATATATTTAAATACAAATATATATTTTATAAATATGATTAATTTCATTTTATTGTTTCCCTCACTAGCTCAACAGTGCCCATATGCTTCAGTTTCATTCTTCCATTTTACAGAAAAAACAACAAAAAAAACACCTGATTGCTGACTTTCTCCTTATCTGTTCCAAGGATGAATGGAAATCATAGAGGTTTGGGAACACCATTAATAAATCATGACAAAATATTCCTTTTAGGGTGCACTAACCCTTAAAAATACGAGTACAAGAAATGAGTAAAAGACCGGAATCATCTTTTGGGATGCGATTGTTTGAAATAGACCAGCAGTCAGGATAAATCTTCTTTCTGTCACAGCACAAGGCCATTTCTCAGACATTAGAGCCCGTAGAGAGTTTAAAAGTTAAACAAACTCTTGTATCAAATGATATAAGCGAGAGAGAGAGGGGGATAAGGGAGAGCAGGGAAGACAGAGCGAAAGAGAAAAGATGGACAGCTTTCACAGCTTTACCGTTCTCTGAGGGACAGTATAAAAGGGAGGGTGCTAGTGAAAGAATATTTTCCTCCATTCCCTGGCAAGGGAAAGTGAGGCTTTCTCTAACAGATGTTTATTGGCGGCGCAAATGATGTAACACTTGAAGTAGCGTTGCCTCCGAGCACAAATGATTTACAGTCCTTTCAGAGCAGTGTTTGATGTCTTCTTCACGCTGTAAGAATATGACTCCCTGAACACACATTCAGCCATTTAATACAGGCAGAAAGCTTCAGCCATTAAACACATCCGGTTCATTGCAGGGTCCGACACGTAGCGATCCAATTGAAGAATATCAGCCAAATGTTGTCTCATATGCAGACAATGAGCTTTAAAGGGACCGTTTCACCCCAAAATTTAATTAGTCATAATTTACTCATCCACAGGTTGTTTCAAACCCGGATGACAATTAAATAACTATTATAACATACAATCTAAGAGAAGTAGTGATATTTGAATCATTTTGAGTCACACATTTTTAAATAATAATTCGGTTTTTGAGTTCAAAACAGATTCAATAATCTGGTTGAATTACTTACTTATTGGAGGGGAAAATTCATTGTAATTTACTTAAATTTTGGTTTGATTCCCACCTAGAGTTATTGTATGACTTCAGAAGACGTGGGATATAGTGAATGATTAATTTGAAATAAGTTGGTGTCCTTTTTGAAGCCTAAAAGCTTAAGTTAAAAGCTTAAACAAAATTAAACTGCTCCACAGAAAAAAAGAAATGTAGTTTGGACAACGTGAGTAAACGATCACACAATTTTCATTTTTGAGCGTACTATCCCTTTAAACAAAGCAAGTTACGTATATATCGGATCTTGATGTTAAATTCATGTCCAAAATCAAAATAATTAAAAAAACATTTTCATAATATTACAAGCTGCATGAACAAAATGGCTTGAAAAGGAACTATAGCATATTGCACAAATTCATTCAACCTTTTCTTAAAGCATTCTGCTCCATTTGTGTTTAATACAAATGAACTGCTGCCAAGCATCTCTCTTCATATCAGGCCAGATTTACGTCTTCCTGCTGTAGTGCAAGTGTGGCGCACGGGGACAGACGGGGGCACAGCGAGTCAAACGGGCGGTAATCACAAAAGGCACGAGGGTACAGAGGCCACGCCGCTGTAGATTCATGTCTCCCCATAGAGAGGTAAAGCACCCATAAATATCTTCCACAACTCCACGCTGGCAACCAGGGCAGATAATTGTCAGATAATTGGCTCAATATTTCTAGCCTCTGGCCAGGCAGTCTCTTTCTCTCATTCTTTCTCTTTTTCTCACCGCTGAACTCTAGTGGAGGTCAATGGAGTGTGTCTGTGATTTACAACGACCGTCACAGTCTTAGCGTGTGTGAGTCTATGTGTTTTGAAATAACACAAATTAACTACAACTGTCTGACTTTGTGACCCTGTCAGCCAGTACTTTATGTAGCTGCGATGGTTCACCTGTCCTGAAGCGGCCCGAAGTTTGCGAGTATATGCGAGAGCGAATCACTTCTGACGGACAGCAGAGCAGGTGAGTGCTGGAAATGATATGTGTTTCCACTCTGAGATCACTCAACCATCAAGAAGGCTCTGGCTGTTGTGAAAGGCAAAAGCATTGCAAGCTGTTATTGTCTGACATGTCTGTGAGATTTTGTTATTTGCCATCCACACAGTTTAGTGGCAGAGAAGTGTAGATTGTCTTATGTTATCTATTGTCGGTTTTTTTCACTTCACTTTTCAGCAAATATCTTGTCTTGCACTTAAGGCAAAGAGTGACATCTGTGTGTGAGAGGTTGTGCATTTTGCTTAAGCAATACAGATTGTGTAAGAGTAGCGAAAGTCATTGCATCATTACCATTACACAGATCTCTGGAATACTTGGTTCTGATTGGTCAATCACAGCTTTCTGCAGTTAAATATTTGTCTACAATGACTGCTAAATTACATAGTTGAACAGGTTGTGATAGGCGTCGTATTCCTATAGATAGATGTGGATCAGCTGATGCGAGCTTGACTGACGTGATCTGCCAGAACTAATGATTTGCTTGATCACAAAATAATAAATAAATAATAAAATAATTTTCATTTAATTTTCAGTTTTATTTTAAAATTTTGTTTTTATTTTGTTAATAATAGATAGATAGATCACATTAGAATGACCGAACATGACCATCCAAAAATA